TTTTTTTTTTTTTTTTTACTATACTTGGTGTAAAACCCCTAAATTTGAACCCAGCCCAGCAGGGCAAGGCCTGGCAGAAGAGTTATATTTACATTATGTCAAACAGTAAAAATCTGTCAATAAAAGAAGGAGTTTGATGGCCAATGAAAAAAATTGCAGATTGTCACTAAAAAAATTAATTCTTACTTTGGCAACCCTGAGTCTTGACTACAAATTGACAATAATTTCTGCTTGATGATTACAGGGATCCTGGTTGTCTCCCTTTAAAAAAGTTACAAATTCTCTGATTTAACTTCCCCACACAAATTCTCCGGTTAAAAGCCCCAAAATCCATGTGTAACTCGGGGCCTGCTCCAAGCCCATCTCACTGTAGTCCGCCCACCTGTTTCTGGGCTAACTGCTCACCTTCTCTCCTGCCACACCTTGTTGGTAATTAATTAGTTGATGTAAATTAAGCAGAAGGCTGCCCATTTCCTGCCCCGAAGCCAGGGGCACTATCTGCAGTTCTGTTCCTCCCCTATACCACAGCCCAAGCCTTGCAGATGGTATCCATAGTTCTTACAATCACCGGCCGATCAGGACCCCTCTAAGATCCCTCCATTCCGGCAGCCTAATCTGCCTTCATTCTCGGCAGTATAATTCCCTGAGCTGCTTCCCTCTCACGGGTGTGTTCCCCCTGGGACCCTGGCCCACCTCCAAGCCAGTCAGAACCCCAGGCCCTCAGCTCTTGGGCATTTTTCATGGTGGGCCCCCAGCCCTTTGACCCTTCCGGTCCTGGCCCCAGCATTGACCAGTCAGGGTAATGTTCAGACAGGTTCATGAATCTATGGCCTTACACTCTCTCTGGGGTCCTCATTCCAGACCCTACAAAGGGGTAACCCACCCGGTTGCGGGGGCTAGGGGTTAAGGCACCCCAACCCACCTTTCACCAGGGTGCTAACTGGCTTGGCATTTCCTGGGGGCTCCCGCACCACTGGGAGCCCCACCAGGCCACCCACTCCCAGTCGGGTACAGTTTTAGGTCATGCCCAGGACTAGGAGCCTCCTGACCATCCCCTACAGCTTCTACCTTACCTCCAGATGATACCTGCAACCAGGCAATGCTATTGCCTGACCTCCCAGCAGCAAAATGCCCTGTTTATATGGGCAGCCCTAGATCCAAAATGGCTGCCCTAATCAGGCACCTGCCGGCTGCCATCTTCTAGCCCTTAAATTGGCAGGCACAAACAGTGCCCTACCACACCATGTTTTTCTGTGGTTAAAACACCATATATATATATATATATATATATATATATATAT